AGTTATTATCATTCCTTTAGTTAAAGATATAATTCAACAATATTAAGTTGAAATTTTACTACTTGGCCATGTTCCAAAACCCTGTGTGAACATAACTTTTTTCCTCAGCCTACCTGGCAGTAAATTCTACAAGTTGCCAAACCATTTTCATGCTCCTTGGAATTTAAGAGCCAAATTGCACAATGACTGACAAGTTCCATGACTTTCCCTCTTAACCTGTTTTAAATGAAAAGCAGATGCAGGAGCCAGGAGTTGAGATTGATGGAACTGTGGAGGCATGTTTAAACCTTTCCCTTCAAGCTATGTGTGCAAACCTAAATGCTTCCTCCCCAAATATCAAAATGCTTTTGTTCTACAGAGAGAAAACACACAGGCATTTATACCTTTTCCCACACAAGGGGAAAGGTACCTAGGAAGGGGATACTGTGTGGAGAAATAGCCCAAATGATTAAACAACCCCTCACCTTGCCCTATCCCACTGACACATGCTGCTTTTGGTAAAAAAAAAAAAATCTTGTTGGAAAAAGATTAACAAATATTTTCACTCTAAGTTTTCCTATTTTTCAATACTCTGCTGAGAGACAGTGGAACAGAATTTTCAACCAAAATGAGACACATTTAAGGCCAGAATTCAAAAAAATCAGTTATGATGTGCTATAATAAGCATATAATTCTGAAATCCATGTATGTAAGTATAAAATAAACTGATTCCTATAGAAAATTATATGCACACAAACACTTGGGTAACTTATAGTTGGGGGCTCTGTGGCACAGCAAGGAAGGTCCTGGTTTCAATATGCTGCACTGCCTAGTACAAGGATCCCCTACTTTTTTGAGTGTGCAGACACCTTTAGAATTCTGATACAGCATGGCAGGCAGAGCCACAAAATGCCTGCCAACACTTACCTTCAGTCACACAGTGAAGATCCTTGTTCTGTGGCAGCAGCTGTTGCCAGAGCAGCATTTTAAAGAATCTGCCCAGGCAATCCAATTTCCTGTGGCCAATCAGAACACTTAAAGGGCAAAAGCCCTACTTGGCCCTGCCCACTTTTAAAAAATGCTCAGTGGGCGCCAGGAAAGATGTTGGTGAGTGCCATGGCACCCACGGGCACCACGTCAGGGAACCATCGCCTAGTAGTTCAAAATCAAATAGTAACTGAAAGTCACTAGGCTCTTTTTGAAACAGCCAGTGCATTCAGCACTAGGGATTTATTTTTAAAAACTCTACAATTTACAGGTTTAAGAAAAAAGTGTAAACATATGCATTAATTAAACAATTAAAATCTGCCATCTGACTCTTTTAGATTTGTGGTCCTAGTTCCATTTATCTTTTTATGTTTTAATCATAAAAATCATATTTTATCATGTTGTACATTGCCCAGATCCCTGTAGTAGCAGGGACTGGGTGATTCACAAATTTAATGAATAAATAAAAATAAATGACTACCCCTGCATAGTAACTGGCACTGTATTGACCACTATTTCCAAAGTACCCAAATAATGTGTTCAAGATCAAACACTAGAACAAAGTTTGAGTCCAGTAGCTACCATGGGGCCCACCCCCCTGTGGTTTTTACGGGCCCCTCCCCCTGGGTGGGGTGGGCTTACCTATCACCAGGAGCCCACTCAGGAGGGGCAGCAGGAGCCACAGGCCCCCCCGCCAAGCCCCCCATTCCTGCTGCCTTCGCCGAGGCAGAAAAAGTCCAGTGCGGAGGGACGTCCAGGCAGCTATGGGAGCAACAGCAGGGGCCAGGCAGAGGTGCCAGAGTCGGAGCCCAGTCCTGCCCCTTTGGAGGGGGGGTGGAAGAGGACGGGGCCAAGGCAGCCAATGAGAAAAGGTCTCGGGTGCTGACTTGGCTGTTGCTGGGTAGAAGAGCCCCAGAACACCGCCGGAGCAGCAGAAAGACGGAGAGGAGAAAATCAGTCCAACTCCAGCAGCTTCTTCTTTCTCATGCTGCTCCTTAGACCCCCCCCCCCCCCCCCCCCCCCCCGGACCAAAAAAAAAAGGGGAGAAAATCAGGCCAACTCCAGCAGCTTCTTCTTTCTCACGCTGCTCCTTAGGCCCCCCCCCCCCGAGTCCCAGCCAAGGGGTCGCGATGGCTGCCTTCCCCCCTCCATTTCGATGGGACCCCCTTGTGCCAAAGAAGGCCCCCTGGAAACACACCCAGCAGGACGAGGGGACAAACAGAAAGAGGAGCGGAGCTTGAGTCCCCGCCAGTGTTCCCTCTAAGCTGGGTTAGTGTAAGCTAGCTCTGTTTTTTAGCCTCTGGCTCACCCATTTTTGTCTTCGCTCAGGAGGAATGGCTCCAGAGCAAACTAATTTATGCAGCAGTCAAATTGCTCGCTCACAACTTTAATGCAAGTATTATTATTTATTGTATTTATTATTTAGTTGTTATTTAGAAGTATGAGCATGCATGGCAATACCGCATAGACATATAATGGCCGGCCCCCCGAGAAAAACATTGACTCCCCTGAGAAAAAAGTTTAGCTATGGGAATGGCTACCCATCTTGATCTATTTACAAATTATGTCACTAAAGATTACTTTTGAGTAAATGAGCAGAGACCACAAACAGAATGATGTAACTCTCTAGTATCTCCCCAAATACAATAAAATATTCAAATTAAACATAACACACCTCAAAATGTGCTTTTTAGTTATTGACAATTTCTACAAGTACTTTTGATGGCAAAACGCAATCTATTAGGTGCCAAGTACACCAATTTCATTACCCAGGATTTAGTATTTTAGATATGTATCCTGAATTTCTAACCAATGAAGACTCAAAGCAACTAACAACATTGTGAAACTGGTTGGGCTGAGACAGAGTGATGAGCCCAAGTTCACCTAGCAACCTTCTATGGTAGAGTGAAAATTCAAACTTGGTCTGACACTAAGCACTATACCATGCTACGCGCTCAGTACTAACGATTTTGCCAGTAATCTATGCTTGCTATGGTCTAACAAAAATCCTTACAAATATCAATGTTAGCAAAATTAACAAAATTAGCCCAATATATTATTGCTTTTCGACATATATTGCTCTTTAATATATTTTATTGGTTAAAATCAATAAACCTAACATCAAATGTTACTATATATTTACATAGTGCTTTTTAGTGTAACAAATGCTTAATTCTTGCCTTGTTATCCAACAAGAGACCCATGATATACATTACATTAAATAATATCTAGAGCCATGCAGTAGGGTTGGGGTTCAAGACCAACGCATATTACACATTACTGTTTGCACTTAGATATAAAAAATCAGGGACTCATGACAAGGGAGAATCTCCCTGCTGATCCCTACACTGCCCTCATATTTCCTCCCCCTTACAGCCCCCACACCTTCTCCCCTTGCCCTGCTTTCCTTCCCACCTACCTTTCTCAATTTCCCCATGATATGCCACTTTCCCTCCCATCCTTTCTTCACTTCACCTGGCAGCCCCAGTGGCTTTTCCTCTTTCTCTTCTTTCCATTGTCCATACTGATCTTCTATCTCGCCTTTCCTGCCCACCCACTATTTCTTTCCCCCATTCATTTCTAGTTTCAAAATGAAACTGTGGTCACCATTTTGGATTGCCTAGGCAACCCTAAACCACATCACTGATGTCTGCAGTTGTCTAGGCAATCAGAAATGGCTGTCAAGATCTTGTGAGGTGATCTCATAAGGGTTCAGCATTTTATTTTACCATCTCATTTTTCTTCAACAACCCCAACTTTCTGCATCTCCCCTATCTGTACATGACGCCATTGTCCAAGTGTTCTGTTAGACCTACATTCTGAGGTCAAGTGCAGAATTAGATGCATGACATTCATGTACAGAACTGCCTTGACAAGTGTGAAGTGCATACGTTGGTACAATGGTAAAGTTCAACCAGTGTTCTTTTAAAACAAAGGAAACCAAAAATCTTCCCATTACCATACTTGAGCAACCCTTCCATAAAGGAACCCCAATGTAGTGCTTGTGGGTGTCACAGCACCCACAGACACCCTTCCTGGCACACACCAAATGTTTTTAGGAAGTGGCAGGGCCAGGTGGGGGCTTGTGCAACACAAGGTTTCTGATGGGCCACTGGGGATTTTATTGGCTGTATGGTTTTATAAAAAAATGTTCGGCAGCAGCTGCCATCCCAGTACAAGGATCTTCACTCTGGGACTGAAGGTAAGCCATGGTAGCCATTTTGTGGCTGCTGTTCTGCACCAGCTGTTTAGTGGCAGTGACCACCACGCTGTGTCAGAATTCCAAGGTAACTGCAGGCTCAAAAAGTTGGGGACCCGTTTTACACGTTGTAAGACGTATGTGTATTTGGTATTCATTCTTCTATACTCTTGTACAAAACATGAAGGGATAATCCAACTTGATCGTGTGGTTTCACTGGAGTCTCTTAGGTCCCAATATGGAACCAACATTTTGAGAAATTCTGTTCTACAAATCAAGCTCAAAGTAATGCCATTCTACCTACTACATAGTATGGTACGTCTGCAGCTCCCAATACAGCACACACATGGGAGGGAAGGAGATTCACAGAGCTTGCTGCTCCTAAAACAGGTTACACATTCTCACGGCCACTGTTCCCTCTAAGCTGAGCTTGTGTGAGCTAGCTCACAGTTTTTTAGCCTCTGGCTCACATATTTTTGTCTTCGCTCAGGAAAGATGGCTCCAGAGAAAACTAATCTATGCAGCAGCCAAATCACTTGCTCACAACTTTAATGCCAGTAGCTCACAAAGTAGAATTTTTGCTCACAAGACTCCACAGCTTAGAGGGAACATTGCTCACGGCCTGTGCTACTTCTGTACTTCTGCTCTGTATTCTGTACTACTACTCACTAGAAGTAGCATATCTACAGAATGCTTTCCATCTAGAAATCCGATCAACTCTTAGCCCCTTCGTTTCAGTTGCTCCCCAACACGCCTCCACAGCTAGCCGGATTTAGGGTAGCTTGAAAGGCGAAAGAAAGAACTGGGATTAAGGGGGGCGGGGCAGCCACATTACCTATGGTGTTTGCTCCTCTGAGAGATGCTCATTCCCCCGCTAGCTGATGTTGCATCTTCCTCTTGCTCCTTGCGGTGTAATCTTGGGAAACTTTGATGGAAACTTTGGGAGAGCAGGGAGGAAGTAGAAGACTGCCCGGCCCCCTCATCTTCGGAGCTAGCAGGAGAGGGTGGGATGGAACAAGCTGCTCCCCGCCTGCTCTTCGGGGGCACGGAAATGGGCATGGTGGCGACAAAGATCTGCGAAGAGGGAACCAGAGGATGAGCCGCGGCCGTTTCTCAAGGCCACCTTCCCGCGCCCCTCGACCCCTCCCCGGACCAAGGGGCATGCTCCCTCCGCTCGCCTCGCTCGCTCCGCCCACTCACAGCGGCCCCGCCCCCGCTAACGGCTCAAAGGAGAGAGAGGAGGAGAGCGACCGTTTGCTGTACCTGAGGCCGCCGCTTTGAAAGCCGCAGCGCTTGGTCGGTTCCCAGCCGTCCCCGCGGCCCAGCCGCCTCCGCCAATCACCAAGTGCAGTGGGCGCCATGGCAACGAGGACGCCTCCGGCCTACTGCCCCACCGCCGGCCTCGGCGCTTCGCACCTCACGTTGGCTGTGTCTCCAAGGCAGCGAGTGTTCTCCGAGAAGCTCCTCCGTTCTCCCTTTCGTGTTTTCCAGCCAGCCTCCTAACCCTTTGTTTCCCATTCTCCCCTCCCCCCCTCCCCCCCTCCCATTGTTACTGATCAAATGACCCCAACAATGACGCCAACGTCGTCACAATAGTAACTTTTTTTATTCCCCAGGAAGCCACGGGCAAGCAAGAAGTTGCTTAGAGACCTCTGCGTTCTTTCTAGGGAGGCCGGGATCCCCCTCCTCCTATTACAGCTCATCTCCAAACGTCGAAAATGTTTGCTTTGGAGGGTGGACTCTGCGGCATTGTACCCCAACTGCAGTCCCTGTACTCCCCAGGTTCTGTCTCCAAATTTCCAGGAGTTTCCCAATTTAAGGAATTTTATATGTCTTATGAGCCTATGTTGGCCGAATTTTAGAGGTTGTGTTCATGCCTTGCTCCCGTCACTGTGGATCTGTTCTTTTTGACCTCTATTCCCTTTGCAGCACTAAGTCAAGGACTGGTGCCACATAATCTCTCGGAAGAGTGTCATGATTTGCTTTTTCTTTTTGGAATGTAAAATGTATTCTGAGCAGAGGTCAGAGAGAGAATTATGATTGGGAATAGAATTGTCTTCGAAATTCTAGACCATGACCTTTTAGCTACTTTATCTTGTAAAGGAAGGACTCAGCATCTTGTTGGGAGTACTTGCATGATCTGTTCATGCTGGCATCAGAATGATCATCCTTAATAAAGACTGTATGCTCTGTTCTCCAAAAGCCTTGGGTGAATTTCCCCTAGACATGTTCTTGGAAAGGGCAGGGTGCCTATCCTAGGCTCACCTGTAACACCCAACCTGGCTTTGGCAACCTTACACCCCCCCCCCCCCTTTTGCCAGTAGCTGGGCGGCCTGGCAAAGCTCTTTCCAAGGAACAGTTCTTGCACAGATGGTTCAGGGTTGGGAGTCTGAGAGCCCTGGACAGTGTCTCTCTGATTGCCCCTCCACAAATTATATATCTATATCTATATATAATCACCCCCCCCCAACCAGCCCCCTCCCATTAAATTAAAGTGAGGCAATATTTATAACACAACACTGCTTGATAATCATGCAACTAGAAATAATGCCTAAACCAGACTCGGCAGAGAATGTGGGAAGACATTGTTGTTGGTTTAAGACTGTAATTCACAGGTGATGCCTCTGACGCCGAATGTGTGTTGTGAAACACACCACTAGGGCAGGAGCTAGAGAATGAGCTTGTTTGTGGGCAGGGTTGATTGATAAGGAAAACTGCTGTAAATGGTTGTTTCCTTTTTGGCTGGTAGCTAAGCTGAAAGTTGTAGCAAAATTGTGAACACAGGCAAACCAGTCAAGGTGGAAAGTCAATGACCCAAGCACCCAGGCTCACTGCTAACACCTTATAAGATACACTACTGCTTCACCTGTTTGGGTTACTGCCAGGGTCTAGAAACACTTTCTTTAAAGAAACATGAAGTTCTTGTTGCTTGAAACCGAATTTAATTGTGACCACAAACTTGTTCTCATAGCTTCAATATGAACCACCATCTCCTTAAGTCAAGCCCCTCAGCCACTGGGTACACCACCCACAATAATAGCTTTAGTCACAATCCCTTGCTGTGTGAATGATCTCAGTGCTGAAGCAACCAATCCAAATTGAGTAAGAGACGAGTTAGGTGGAATAATGCACGGAGAGGTTTGTTACACACCAAGCTTGCCATCTGAATAGATCCTTAGCATACGAAGCACCCTGCGGAAATGAAAAACTAAGAGCTTATTTGGGAAGAGTTTTAATGCTACTTCAGGGTTTCCCCTGGCAGAGATTGAAAATAATAATTAAAAAATAGCCTGAACTATTTTATTTCA